AGGTTTCTTAATTCGAAAGTTCCCTCTTCTGAACTTAAACCAAAGAGGGTTATCAGTATGACTTCTAATATTATAGTTTTCTTATTTCTACAGAACATTTAATTTTCCCCTCTTGCTTTCTTCTTTCCCTTCACCACCAAATCTACTAGGCAGAACAATTTCATCTCCAAAAGTGGCACCCTCCTGATCTGTCACCTAGGCTCCTGCGTACTTTTAAGTCTCCTCCTTTTGATTTCCCAATAGCCAATGGTCTAATCGAATCTAAGATCAGATCTTAGTATTCTCCCACCAAGGCAGGACTTTTTCTTTCTAAAGGCAATTTTAATTGTGTTCTCTCACCCCTGAGCTCCTAGCTCAACCCATTCCCCTCTCATCTTCTCCATGTAGTCTCTGCAGTCTTCACTGAACTCTCTCTATTATGGGCTCTAAAGCTGAACAGGCTAGATTTGGATATTTATTTCTCACTCTAAAAATCTGAAGTTCTTAGTCTGTCTCCTAGTTAAGCTGAAGGCATAGGTAGGTTACAGTTAGTTGGTTTTATTTGATCTCTTTATTGATCTGTATGGACTTTTAGACAATGTGTGTGTGGAAAAATTCAGATTTAGCTGGCCACCACTATTCTATGGCAATCCAGGAGTCTCAATTCATCAAGAATTGTCAATGTCTTTCTAGTTGACCATTTTCTCTAGTTTAGTGTAATCTCCTCTATTCTTTAAATACTCTCTTTATTTAGTAAAAATTGAACCTTTGGTAATTTGTCATTAGCATCAGTCATAAGCCCTCATGGATGATGGACACAGTAACTAAAAGAGCCACATAATACAAAACTATGGAAAGGAGGTGAATAACATAATGAATTCAGCTTGCAAAGGAAACCTATCACTTCTGCAGGGCATTTGATAACTTAGGGTAAAAAAGTGAAATCTAGGTATTACTAAGAAAGAATTTACTAAAATAATTTTTTATTTCTACTATAACAGCAGCAATCTTTCATGTTCAGTGATTGCAGATTTAACATGGCTATTGAAAAATAGTTGACAATAAGTTTCCAAGTCCCTTACTTCAGAAATAATTTTGGTACCTGATAGTAAGTCTGTTCAGAAATATTAAAGGCATAAAGCAGGCTAAGAGCAAATGACAACAGAAAGTTTTTACTGTTAGAGAAGATTCACCGAGTAATCTACACTAGCAGCTTGTGTACATAATTTGGTATGCTTAGGATTATAGCCTAGAAGAGAGCCAAAAATCAATATAATGAATAAAATAAAGAAGGGCTAAGAAATAACCTAAGAATTCAACAAGTAGATGAGTATTATGATATAAGGTTAGGAATGTTGAACTAGACACTAAATACTTTTTTCTTTAAAGACAAATAAACTGGTGTTCTCTCACAGGGTTGTTCTATACAAAATAAAAAATTATGTGACTCTTGTATGAAATAGGAATTGTCATCAGGCAATTAAACAAAATTGAAGTATAAAGGTAAATGAGGCAATGAGACAGAGGGAAACAGCTTAATCCTTCAAGAAAAGAATTTAAAGCTGTGTTGGTGACCATCCTGGCAATGTTTTGTGGTTCCCCCAGCAACAAGACATGGTCCCCATGCTCTTATTATGAAACAGAACTTTTATAATGAATGGACTGCTAATTTCTCTTGTCTTTGGGCCTTTGATTTATGCTAGTAGTTTGTCTTACAAGGTGATTTACATGTCATACTCTATAAGGACAATTCCTGTCAATGTTTATGGATGAAAACAAGGTAGCCTACTGTTTTAAATTTTCTAATAAGCATAAATAGAGTAAACATACTACAATTAAACAAGCATTTACTCAGAATTTCTAACTATTCTCTGAATCAAAAGAGACCAGAATAAACAGAGGCTGATTTCTTGGCTGGTAGCCTTCATATATTTACTAAAAACATTTTAAAACTGAGATCTGAAGTATTTATATGAGTGAATGAATGCTTCTATATTAATTTAGATCAGAGATTTACACAAAATGCTTGCTGAAACAAAATGTTTTCCAAAAATCTAATAAGTATTCAAAATTTCTCTTAAGATTCTGATGTACATACTACATTTAATGTTACAAAAAATTAAGAAAGAAAACCACTCTTAAGTCATACATCAAAGTAAAAAGTCTAAACTCAGATTACAATCATTTGTAATGTACAATTCAAATATACTAAATTCCCACAGTGTAAAAATTTTTAAAGCATAATTTCTTTCCTTTCAGAAATGTCCTTTCCAATGACAGGTTAGTAGATTGTAAGATAAAACTTTAAGTTTAGATTCTGATTACACACATTACCATTTCATACTTGTACAGAATGGAGAAATCATTCTTTCTCGATCAGGTGCAATTCTGGTATAAAGAGTGATATTTTTAGTTAAAACACTTGACACTAAGGAAAGAATTATGAAACGAGAAGGTGTCTGTGTAAAAAAAGTCAGTACAGATCCACCCAAGTTAAATATTTTATAATTTTACCTTTAAGAGGACAGAAGTAGCAATGGATCAATCACTTTATTCAGGGAAATAAGAACAACTGTAGAAAATAAACATCTTACTGGTATTTTTTTACTTTTTCTTGTTTAAAAGACAGATGCTTATTTCATGAAATATATCAATAAATACTTATAAAATAAATCTATCAGTCTATAGCTCAAGGGAAAAAAAAGGTTTATATATCATCCCTCTTTTTAACAATAACAATTTGAAACAATTTTAAATACAAAGCAAAAATTTATGATACAACATTAAAACCTAGCTTCTGGAAACACTTTCACATTCTATAAACTCAGCAAAAAGCTGCACTTTACTCAGAATGTAGTTTTTTATCTTGTAAACTAAGGGTTCAAATCCAAACTCTGGATTCTGCCAGAGCAAGGCAAATAACCTTATAGAGTCTGTTTCTCTATCCTTGAAGTGATGATGATAATAATACCTCTTCATGGGGCTACAGGAAAGATTAAATTAGATAACAGACATAGTCCCAAGTCCAGTGCTGAGTACACAGTAGGTGCTCAATCAATGATAGATAGCACTCTTAAGTCAAAGACTGAACATCCTACAAGAACTCCCTCTTCCTATACCAAATTCTTTTGTGTCAATAGTCTTAGTTGTGAGGAGACTTACGAATTTTGTTACAGATTCTTAAAAAGACATATTCCTTTGGTTCCCTTCCTGAGAAGTCAATAGTTAAATTGGTAGAATTTGTTTTTATTAACACCTTGTGGCTATGTGGCCTTAATGTTTCATGATATACAATTTCAAGATCATTTTCAATGAATAAGTCCACAATGGGTCTGAAATTTAATCCAATAATTATATACTTCTCAATATTTTTTGAATCTGTCCTTTAAAAAGTTATAAACTTGTACTTCCTTTTCCATTTCTCTTCCTCAGCTTCACCTCTCTGTCTACCAGTCTTTCCGGAGAGGACTGAGCAACTCTCCAGATAGAACAAGGACACTGTCTCTATGTCCCTCAGTTGCTGAACAAATGGTCCATTCAGAAATTCTACTTTTTTCTAACTTAAAGAAAAAACTGAGCCATTGAAAACAAAAGAAGGTTATAATAAAACAATTCTTCAAAAAACATGAACTTGAGATACTCAATGCACTTAGACTAATTATACGATCATGTAAATATGCCTATACAGGCACGTGTAAAAATCAGGTGATCACGTGGTTCTTTCTAGTTCTCTAGACCTCTAGTCAGCCACCTAAAAGAATTTTCTGTGATCATGGAAATGGTATATTCTGTGATCCCCAAGAAGGCAGTCACTAGCCAAATATGGCTACTGAAAAAGTAAGACTAAAGAATTAAATTTCAAATTTAATTTAATTATTAAATTTAAATTGCCACATGTATCTACTACACTGGATAGCACAGCCTTAGACACTCTCTTTTCCTCTTCTTCTTTTCCACCATGAGCCTTATCCAGATGCTCTTATTGAACTCTTCGTTTTACATCCCTTCTCTATTATCTCTAAGATTAAACAGCTTGACAGAGTTATAATTTCAAAAGCAAAAAGAATTACTGAAAATGAATTTTCAAAGCTAGCTTTAAAATGTGCTTTTTGATGAAGAGTACTGCTGTCAATTATTTTGGATTTTCTAATCAAAATTTACCAAAAAAATAAAAAAGAAATAACACATACATCGCTGAGTGCTTGAAACTGAAACTTTAACAATATATACTTTGTCCTGAATTCTTTGTCAGCTACATAATTAGTCCCAGGACAAGACAATGGCATAATTAAAAACAAGTACAGCACAAGCCATAGCATGACCAAGTGGAATTAAAGGAACAAATGAAAATCATTCTGTACCTGTCTATTGACTGTAATAATAAATTAATGAACAGAAATATGATGGATCAAATAAAACAACACAATGTGTTAGTCAATGAAGAGTTGTATAATTTTTATCTCTAGTCTTATTTACCATACCACCAAAGACCAAGTCCTACCTCAGTTTTAAGGGATTTTTGGATGACTGCTGATGGTTCTTCCCAATTAAATCTAAACATACACATTGTTTTAAAGTAAAATTATTAAAAAGGTGACCACAAGATCTCAGAAAAAATTTTAAGTGTTCTAAGCTCCCCTCTGTTTCTCCTCTTCAGTCTCCCCACATAAAACCACACAGTGTTTCTTTTAAAGAACAAATGTAGGTGTTAAGAAGAAAAACAACTATGGTGCTTATCTGCTGGGAATGAAATAATGGCCCCTCTCTGGAACCAGTATGAATGTCATCACCACCATCAATTTCTCCTTTCTTCTGCCTATCAACTTGGCATTCAGAACCTTGGGGGTGTGGAGGTGGGGTAGGAGCTTGGAAACATGTAAAACAACCTCAGTATTCAGGGATAGGATTCAAAAGAATTCAAATTACAAGTGAATACAAGTTACAGGCTAAATTACCAATTTCTGAATGACTGCTGATTTGATTTTTTTGTTTGGCATTTGAGTAAACATAATGAAACTCACTATTTTGAGCCAGCGCTTGCAGCAGACAATCCAAGCATCCTTCCAAACTGTCCTCAGTTCTGTCAACAGCTGTTATCTTCAGCTTTTTCAAGGTATCACTGAGATTATCTGCTTACAGAAAAAAGAGAAATCAGAAACCTCACTAACCATATGACCATCACATGTTACATGATAAACAGTTACCACTAACAGGCAAAGCGTTCTCATTATAGTGAATTACCTTCCAGATACATTCCAAAATGGCAATGGACTGTATTACTACAAATTTTTTAAATAAAATTTTATCCATTTAACTCAGATATGAAATATTCATTCTGTATATGCAAGATACCAGAGATATTCCACAAACTGTCACAAAAAACATTTTTCAGCATTCTTATACCTTATTTAGCTTGTTCAGGAAACCAGTCATAGTTAACTGAAAAAAACTAAAGGTCTACAAAAAAATTATACAGCTTTGCAAATAATATTGTGTTTCATTTTTTGGCTTCCTCTGTTGTATTTCAAAGACACAAAATGAAAATGAAAGTTTACAGAAGTTCTGAAATATTATGACTTAAAAGAATACAAAGTCTGATGACTATAAAACCTACTTTAACCCTGCCATTTGAAAAACACTGGAGAGTATTGCTTTAAGCCAAAACATGTACATTCTGGATTATAAAGCTATGCTCTCCTCCTAAATTATATGTGGATTCCTCTAGACCACAGATTGTCAAAATCTCTTTATACTATTAAAAATTATTCAGGACCCCAAAGAGCTTTTTTTACATCAATTATTTCTATTGATATTTAACATACTAAAAATTAAAACTGAAACTTTTCAAGATTTATTTTACTAATTCTTTAAAATTATCAATTATAAAACTACCTGTTAACATAAGTAATATTTCTGATTAAAAAAATAACTATATTTCAAAACAAAAAAACTTACTGAAAAGAGTGGCATTGTTCTACATATTTACAAATCTCTGTAATATCTGCCTTACTAGAAGATAACTGAATTCTCATATCTGCTTCTGTATTCAATCTTTTGTAATTTGTTGTGTTGGTTGAGTAGACGAAGAAAATTCAGCTTTAGCCCACCCTAGAGACTGGCCCCACCCAACAACAAGCCCTCAGGCAACGTGTGGGCCTGCATAGATTGGTGACTGGATTCTCTGCAGCCTGGCAACTGAGCCGACTTGAGCGGGCAGGGTGTGCACAAGGAGCG